TCCTGGGGTTTGATTCAAATTTTATGTTCTACTGAAAGGGGCTGCTGTCTTAGACAGTGAAATGTGAGGTGTTCTGTCATGAAATGAAACCCTTCCCTCTCCACCAAGGCTTAGTCCTTGGTGCTCTGGTATTCAGGCTCTTGGAAGGATCACTGGCCATGAGCTGTTTGCCGCAGCTTAGAACCAGTGAGATCACTCCATGGAAACTGGTCTCACGCGTTAAAGTAAGGGGACAGGTATGGCACACACTTCTGTGTCTTGTAACCCTTGCCTAAGTTTTGAAGCCAGAGCGAACTCGACATGACTATTCTCTCCTAGAGAGAGTGCTGCTCTGGTGTACTGCGGGCTCCTGCTGACTTGTAGTCAGGTGGCTTCCTCCTTTGGACACTGAAAGTGGACTGGCGTCCCAGGCCAGTAGAAAGCTGAAATAAAACCTGAATGGTTTTCTGAAGGATAAGAAATATGTAAAATAGAGAGAGGTTATTCCCCCACCTGCTGCCTATCTCTGACCCACTTTGGCATCTGGCACTGCTCCCATCCTGACCCCATCTCTGTTCAGATGTAAGCAGGCTGAGGTCTCAGTTTTACTTGGAATCTCTCTCATGTATAAGAATGTGATTTGGTGAGGCCAGCCTCTGATTGTATGGCACTTGCACCTCACAGCTGGAATGGGGCGTCCTGTGTCCCATGTGCTTGCCTCGTCCCTCCCATGGATCTGCTGGTTCTCATGATCTCTTCCGTCCTCTCTTTTCTGCTTTGTTTCTTTGTGAGTTTCTCTGGAAACCTTTTTGTTTGTTTCTTGGTGTTTGGAGTCTGATCTTTGTTCTGTGGAAATCAACTTGCACTGTAAACTATTTGCTTACTTACAGAGAGAGAGATAAAGATAATCTGAAACATGCAGTTGGTTGCTTATTTTTTTTCCCAGAGAGAAGTTTATAATCTTGTTTGTCTTACGCTGGGGTGATTTGTGCTACTAGGAAGCCATGTGCTGGCTTCCTCTGCAGAGTGTGTTTTTTTTTTTGTAATCAGAAATGAAGATTGGACTCTGGAAAATGAGCCTGAACTGTGTGGTTTTGAGCATTTCTGTGTTTTCGGCATGAGATGTCAGCAAAGGTAACTGCCTTAAAGGGTACAAAAAAAGAACTAGATCAAAGAGGATCAAGTCTCCTGACTTTGTTAACCGTGTGGTAAAACCTTTGTGCAGTCAAGACCCATAACACAGGCACCCTGGCACTGGGAGAGCTCTGGAAGTCATTTACAGATGTGAGAAGACAAAAGATGGTGGAACAGATGGCAGATGATAAAGGAGCAGGTGGGCCACTGACACGTCATGACTGTCGGATTCAGGAGTCGCGTCTAGCTCACTTCTCTTTAGGCTTTCAGATTACTGTGCCTGGCCCTGCTGTCAGCTTGCGAAGGAGCCAAAGGCAGTTTTAATTGCATGCAAACCGTGTGTTCGTGGTTTTACCTCTCCTGGAGGTAGACACAAATCAGTCCAGAGATAGAACCCTCCTAAGTGAAAGGGCTGAAACCTTCGACCCTGTGTTTCTCTGTGGCCTGAAAGAGAAAAAGATACAGTTACACCGCAGATAAAATCCGGGTCATGGGTTTGCCCATGAATGTTGTCCATTGTGGGATTTCTTACCTTTATCTACTGCTAGAACTGGGTGTTGTTAGAAGACACAGAGGGCCTTGACTACTTATCTGATCTGTAGCAGCTGTGGGTGAGAGTTGGAGCTGATGAGCTTCATTCCTGTTCATGCTAATCGTGTATTCGGGTAGTCCCTGTGTTTACCAGCAAGAAATCACAAGCCAATGTCTCTTCCAGTCCATACTCATACCTAGTACCTACGGGACTTAGTATTTGTATCTCCGTGGGAGACCTCCAAAGTCACCTGCTTAGTGGAGGCTCAGTAACTTAAACAGTGTTTTATCGGTTACACCGCAGATAAAATCCGGGTCATGGGTTTGCCCACGAAGTACATCATTGCTTGTCTCTAGGCTGTCAGTGACCAGGAAGAAGGCTTGAGATCACATTTATCATTTGAAAGGGCCAGACCTTGGTATGTATCTCCTGTAGATCCTTTCATACAGACTGTGACATGGGAATAATAATTAACTTTATTGGAGCCTAATTTATCCAGCTGTTATTTCTCATGACATATTTCTGTTGACACAGGCTTAAGTAAAAGCACTTATTGGGCAAAGTTCATGGTCATAGAATCGTTCTCACAGTTTCACAGAAAGGTGCTATCATTGCCTGAATGCTGAATCCTAAAGGGAGTGGGATGTGTGTGGTCAGGAGTTTCTAGTTCTGATCACTGTTACTGACTTGGGAGAGTGTGCTTTTCTAGGGGATTGAAAAAAAAACTATAAATAAGCTCTGATCCTAAATCCACACTACTTCGGGGTTTGATTTATAGAGGAACAGAAGCAATAACTTAGATGCTTTTTGTATCATGCTCCTTCGGCCTTGGTTAAGAGTCATGACAGATTTTGATTGACTGTAAAACGAGACTTGCCCTTACATCTCGTATAACCTCCGAAGGCAAGAGTGATGTAAGCCAATGCCAGTTGACTTTGAGTCTTGTATTTGGTAAGTGCAGAGCAGACCCAGAGATTTCACAAGATACACATGAAAATTCAATCTCTCTTTATTTCCATTCATCAGGCTCCGTATTTGGGACCCGTAGTCACAAGCCCCCTCACTCTCCCATGTGCTTTCAAAGCAAACATCTCCTATGGAACAAGTTCAATGGGTCTTTGATCAGGCACCATGCTGTGCAACCGTGTTCCCTTACGCACTGCACCTTGTGAAATGTTTGTGGATGTGCAAAGTGGCAGTGAGGATCAAAGTGTTGGGGTAGGGAGGGATTCACAGTAGATTTGGCAGTAGCTCTTCCTTGAACGAGCTCTGCATGCAAGGGTGGGACCTTTGCTGGTACGCACTGGTGATAACATCATGCACGAGTAGCATCAGGTGGAGATCAACCATAGTACTTCTCCAGTGCTTCTCACTTGAGGCTCTGCAAGTGCCTGTAAGGAGAAATGGTGTTTATTCTCAGGAAGGCAAGGTAATGTTGGAGCTTTGATTTTCATTAATGGGAAAAGATGCACTGAACCGGTGCAGGTCTGAAGGCCCATCCTGCTCTTCAGTACTGAGAGCTGCAAGAGCTTGGCACTCGCTGGGGCTGGGTCCTACAGGACTTGCACAAGTTGATGTGCCAGGTGTCAGCACCAGGAACAAACAGAAATAGTCTCTGTTCTGATCATTAAGGCAGCTACCAACATCTTTTTGAAGATTACACATGAAAAGTGTACGTTTTGTTAATTTCTGAATGGCTGTGGCTGTATGTGCTTCTACTGTGGCTGGTACTGATAGGTCTGTTCTGTGCTGCAGGATGGCAGGTTGGTGAGCGGTGGTGGGGCTGGTGGTCCTTGACTGTGGATTTTTGAATTTCTGTGGAGTGTAGGTCAATCTTTGTTGCTTTTGTTGAAGGCTGCTCTTGCATTCTGTTACCTGGAAGATGTCAGTAGGAGCTGATAAAGTCCCATTTGCTACCATACAGCATCCACTGGCGCAGACTACTGAAAAGTACCAGCACACACGCTTCCTTAGAGCAGTAAGACAGTTTGTTTATGGGCTTTGAGTCTATTCTCTATGGAGAAAAAATGGTAACATAAAACCAACCTCCTTTTCTTCTGAAACTCATGGAGGTGTTGTGCAATGAGAAGTCAAAGCACAAGCCAGAGGGGAAAAAGCTTGAAAACTTCCATGTGCATATCCACTGCTTACTGCATCTTTGTTCAGCATCGTTGTTTCACCCTGGCCTCTGAGGTGGGGAGTCGGCTTGGTTCAGGCTGTGACGTAGACCTCCAGGAGTCCCCCGACAGAGTGCATTCGGTAGAACACAGCCAGTGGGAGGCCGAAGTTCACGATCGCAAACCAGGTGGAATAGCCGTAAAATGACTTTTCCAGTCCATTCTCGAAGACAGGATGAGCCCCAAACGTGGGCATGACCCACAGCTAAAGAGGTGTAAGGAAAAAAGAGCAGAAGTCAGAGGATGACAACCTGTCTCCTACCTGCACTCTAATCTTAGCACTGGCTCAGGTGGTTGTAGGAATATTTCAAGAGTATCAGAGGAGTCTCCCGGCCAGGGAAGAGAAGGAAAATCCCCTAGTTATGCTGCTGACTCCTTGCTGTAAGTCAAATCCTGTCGAATTCCTGAAACCTAATGATAGCCTCATTCTGCCTCAGCCAGCTTCATCTTTCTACAGAATGTCAGTTTCCTTGGCCAATTTGTTTTCACTGGGTTAAGGCCGAAGTAAAGATCCATGTTGATTCAAGATCCCAGAGCACAATGTACCTTGTCAGGTGAGTTTCAATCCTGGAGAATCATGTTTACAAAGACTCACTGCTGGTGCCTCATGTTTCTCCACCTATCTCATGAAACACCCTTAATGAGTTTGATAACTTTTTCAGAGGCTAGAACTTTGACACATAAGGAT